CTTCCTCTGGCAGTTCAAGCACCAATGCTTTCTTTATATATGCTAAACTTTATCTTATCAGTAAAATTTACGGTGGAACAAAAGACATTACGTCATCACCAAAAGATGTGATCTCATTTGTATCCTCAGATCAAAATGCTAGTCAGTTGCCGAACCCGAATTGAGAAATATAACAGCAGGAAGACGAAATTTCCTATTTAAGTGGACTAATTTCTCTCGAAAAATTTGTCACATCTTATCGAAAACTTACATCAGAACAGTGTAGTAAACGGGAAGGAGAAAGGTTCAGCCATGGACTGAGTAATACACTCTAACAAAGAATCGTATCTTACAAAATCAAAAAGCTTTTACTTTTCATCCCAAAATCGAAAGTGGTTTATTAAACAGATAAATTAACTCAAAAGCGTTTTGTAGCAATTACGAAAAGCTTTAGGTTTTTATGGAACCGCATTTCTATTTTCTTGCAAAAAAAGGTTCGGGTATTGTAAAGTACAATCAGACTTTTTAGCTTGACAGAAGGTACCAACACAGTTTTTTGTTTTTTTCTAAACCCTTGTCGGTTTATCTCATGAAGAACCGACCTCCCGGTTCAGCGAAAATTTTTCTAAAAATCACTGAAAACCTGCTGTCAAAACATCCTCAAACCGGATGTTGAGGTTCCGGTTGCAGGTTGCTAGCACTCACTTGTCCTTAATTTTACATCGAAAAACCACTTTTTTTCTGTTGCAGAAAGATTCTAGCGTGTTGAAATTGTTGTATAGGTGAGAGATACCAAATCAAAAAGCTAACTGCACTATGTTCTTGAAGAAAAATACGTGTAAAACATGGTGTAATCAGCTTTAAAACACAAAGACTGACATTCACTAAACATTCGTAGACAAATTAAGCGGTATAACACGGTCATGTGACCACATCAAGTACATTACAAAAACATTTCACTCGAGTTAATATCAAATAAAAAACAGATCCATGACCAAGATGTATAATTCATTGATTTCAGTGCGATATATCATCCTATTTCTTCATCTTCCAGAAAAGGGGGTATACACATGAATCAATAAACTTCCATCATTTGCCATTAAGTACTATTGAAAAACGTTTTGTTTAATCTCAAAAGTGCATATTCAAAAACGTTTTGGGCATCATATAAGTTCACCTCCTTATGAAATATCACATAATTATTGTTGTGGAATTGTGTAAACAATTTGTGAGTTTCTGTAGTGAGATTTGCATTGGGCCCCAATAAATGGATTTCAAACAAAATTTGTCGGATGTAAGCCGTAGGTGGTCTTATGGCATCTCTACCTTTCTTAAAAAGCTCAAAGAACAACGAAAACTCGGCGCCTTCAATGTCCACCTTGAGTATATCAATCTCTCGTTGAGTGTGATTCAATTGATTAATGATCATTTCTAGTGATTTTGTTGTACCATCAAGTCCGTCACCTAATTTTGCTTGATGAAATGTACACACATTTGGCGGACAATGATAGACACCCATATCAAATGTGTGAATTTCACACTTCGGTAGCACTGATTTTATTGCATTCTCAAACGAAAAATCACCATTAGAGCCAAATGAATAAATGAGACAAGTTGGTTTTGATTGAATATGATGTACATCACAAACCTAAATTTTAAATAGAAAATAATAATTCAGCGATGTAGATATTAAAGTTATTTGATACTGAAAAGAACTGACTTCCATTTTTTTAACTTTCTACAGAGCAATGTCATTGGAGACACGAACTTCGGCATGAAGCATGTTGAGATTTTCTATCGTCATTGTGAATGTTTATTGGTCACAGATAGCCTGAAGTGTTTCTTTTAACACAAATAAAGAAATAAATTTTTAGACATCTGATCACTTTCATGTAATAAAAATTCTATTATAATACGAATACTATAAGTGTGTTGATATTTTATTTTCTCACAAAGTGAACAACATGTTCTTTTTTGAATTTTAAACGAAATATTGGTGATCAACTTGGTTGAATGCATACAGATCACTGGGATTTTGATTTAACAGATGTGAGAAAACAAATTTTCAAAGTTCGTTTAGCAACCCTAATAAAAAAGTAGAATTCATCACGAAACTTATGATCTTACGCATCCGTACACATGTTGTCTTTGAGAAATTTAATTTCTTGATACAGTGACTGTCTCAATTAGAAGAAAAAAATTATGGTGTTTAGTATTAGATAATGAAATTCTTGAAAGAAAGCGAACTAATCAATGATAGTATTTACCCATTTGCCCCCATCGCCAATATTGCCTAAACGACGTTCAAATTCACATGAAAAATTTGGTTCCCAGTTGTTTTGAAAAAATAGAAATCTTGCATCCGATACTCTATTTCTCCCATGCTGTAAATGATATAACTTTTTTCGTCGTTCCCAGTCCACGTCATATTCACAAAAAAATTGATCACTTTCTCTTAGAGATAATTGACAATCGTCTGATGGTATAGATAATGTTTTATTTCTGTGATTTTCTAATAATACGGTAAATGATGGTTGTGTTGATGGTGATAGAGAGACATTCTGTTGATGAGTGTTATCATTTCCTGTATAAAATGATAAGAACGATTTATTTATAGCTTCAGTATGGAAAAACCATGAAAATATTATTAACGTAAATAGAATAATAGCCAAAGCAATATACTTATTTGGCAGTTTGTAAGTTTGTAACCGATTAATGAATGTATTTTGTTCATTAATCATATGACACGTTATTTTTTCGTTTAAATAGATCGTTGCTCAATAAATGTGGTAATGGTATATCCTGAATATTGGCATTATTTATCAATATTTATTCGGAAGAAGCGAGAAATATACCTGTATAGTACATAATACTCCCTCTCTCTCTCTCTCGATTTATTCATTCACATTAAAGACGAATTATTGATGCCGGAGGGAAGAGAGAAAGGGCACAAAACATAAAGAAAAAAAATGAAAAGCTGTCAACCACAAAAGTTTGTCTTCTTTCCAGTATAAGCTTGTATTGTTCTTTCTTTGTGTAAGTAATCGTGTATATGTCCGATGTTTTTTTATTTCTTCTTGAGAAGATTTCAATCTACAGCTGATGCACCATAAAATCGCAGTTTTCTCCCCAATCGCTACGAGCTGTGACGAATCGATTAGCCGGTCATCAAAAAGAAAACCTCATGGGAATGATGATGGAAAATGTAGAAATCGCGAGTTAAATGTAAAGATAATTGGAAACCGAATGTACAACTATTTCTCTTTTTTTTATTCTATGACTTTTTATCCGCCTGAACGCCTTCAGTTTCGTTGGAACACCTGTAGCTGTTAGAAGTAAAATCGAAACACCTTTATTCTACATTTAAAAAGTAATGACATATTTTCGTATAATCTAAGTGCCTCAATAACGGTTAAACTTTTTACCCTGCAATTTTCGTCATAATTCATCAAAATATTATTTGAATGAGCAGTTGGAAATAAAATTTTAAATATAAAGTATGATACTGCTATGAAAATCATAATAAAATCTTATCTTCAATTACTTCTAGCTCATTTTTGTTTTCAGAAATTTACTTTGAGCAGCTTTGCTAGTCAGATATACACAGAATAGCCAACTGGATAAAAATCAAATGTAGGATCATTTTTTTTTTTGTTATGGGATACATGCATAACACCTTGTTTTCTTCATTGCAGGATGAGTAAAGAGCTAGATATTATGGTTTTCGTTTTATCTCGCACACATAGGTTAGGTACACGAATTAAGATATTCAAAGAAAAATCAATTATTAACTGAAAATTTTTTTAATTTATCTGTTATTTTTTGTTGTTCATAATATGCATATATATTTTGTTATCATAAATAGTTTTTAGCTTTTAGTTCTAGCTCTTTTTCATACAAAATTAATGAATGAATGAAACTCATTATAATTTAAATGCGTATTCATAAGTAATGATACTTCTGCAGCCGGAACCTGAGTTCATGTAGCATTTATTCATGTGCCAACGAGTTCGACGCAATAATGAAGAAAATAAATGATTATTAATTTTTTCATTTCGAATGTTAACTAAGGTATTTTAACCCAAGAAATTTGCTTTTAATGCAACAAATTTTAAATTTTTCTTTAGAATCATTTTCATCTTTGAAGCTGCTTCAAATGCTTATTTCAGTCTTTCGATTTCAGGCGAAATAATCTTATGTAGGCTTTATTATCGATATTTAAAATTGTTGACAGCATTTATTTCATGTGTTGAATCCAGCTATAGAATCATTTTCATTCATTCAGTCTAACATATTATCCATTGTTTAACCTATTCTAAAAAATTACATCGACCAGTACTATATTCTATGTACACCAACGTGTTACGAATAAGAAAAGTGTCTTCAGTAAACTATGTATGATGTCATTAATTGCAAAGACTCTCAAGGATTCCATACCTTGTAGAAAGCGAAAATTTGCACAAGTTCTTTAAAAAATTCTGCTTCTTGAAAATTGTTGATCAATATTTTGTTCAATAATTTTCAAGAGTATCAAGTTCAGATACATTAACTGATCTTGATCCAGATTTTATTCTGGTTTTTGCATTTTTTTTGCACTATGCATGTGAGAGAATTTTTTTGTTTTGTTGGCATTTTTCGGGCAGGCCAGATGTATTCTGTTCTCTCATTCTTCCATTCACCATCCTGCTTTGTCAGCATAATAGTTATATAAATATTACAATATTTCAAAGTTTTCGACTTGATGCTTTTCCCTCTCGTGTGAGAAGTGCTGAGACAGAATCGTATATGGCTATGTCTTTGTCAGTTTTGTACTGAAGTAATTAGCAGGGGTGTATCTAGCACAGCCCAGTATATAGATAGATCGAAGAGGGGCGTGAGCATTGTCTTGAATGTAGGAATATTTATAGATCTCCCAGGATCTTCGGCCTCCATTAAACGTTTTAGATTTAAATTATATTACAAAGCTTCCATACCAAATCAGAGAAAAATTCATAACATATTTCAGATACTTTCCTAGCGAACACCAACCGAAAGGAGGCGTGAGTGTTATCTGGGATTCAAACGTGATGAAAGGCCGTTCGCAGATATAAGTTCCTAAGACAAGGGACCCCACGAGTGCAGACCAGCGTTACGCTGTGTACATTACACAGTAACGTGTAGTGAAATACAATATTTTCTTGAATTTCTTTACTACAAGAAGGTTAAGTTAAGCTAGCGGAAAACGGTGGAGGAAGATCGCTTCAATCAGCGTAAAATCTCACAAACTTACGCTGATAGTAGCGTTATCCTCCAGCATTTCTCCGCTAGCTTATCTTAACCCTACAAGAAAGGGTTTAGAAAAAAATGGTTGTTTCCCGCTAGCCGTCAGGAGTCACTTTCTACGTCTTTTCATGTAGAAAGTGGCTCCTGACGGCTATCTTTGACGGCTACCGGGAAACAGCCGAAAAAAATAATGTTTGCTGGAGCCTTTCTTTTTTGTTTGATCAATTAATCAACCGATAGAAAAAAAGAAATAATGATGCCGCTCGTTGACAGAAAGGAAAGATTTACTTACACATGAAAGAAGTTAGGCAAAATAAAATAAAATGTGATATATTTATAGCATTCGAACAGGGATTTTGTGGGGATGTTAATTAGGGTTTTACAAAAAAATATCTACTTTTCAGTACGAAATATGTTAATCGAGGGTGCTTCCACACAGGTCCGGCCACTTTATACAGAGCATCTTGAGATGCTCTGTATAAAGTTCGGCAAGTGCCGCGAAAATTCCACTTGCCCCACTTGGTGAAAATGAACGAAACATTGCATAATTATACATCAAATTGTAGCTCTTGACGAATTGATTCTAATGGTGAAGGAATTTGGTCTCGATCTAATTTTACATTCGAGTGATACTCCATTTACTTGAAAAATTTCTGGAGTTTGACCTTGATTTTCTCCTACATGTTCCGAAAATTGTTCGAGATGTTTTCAGGATCTATAACTTTGCCCGTACAACTATCCTCGACACTTTCCATTTTTCACCCTCAGTTTTCCAGAAAATGGGCCATGGGCAACTGCAGATGGAAAATGCAATGGTGCAGCAGAAACATCTGTAGGAAGTCTTCGGAAAAGTTTAAGATTTCTAATGGTTTTTGGTGTCCTCTGAGATGAAGGACGAATATATTTTCAAAGACTACTCTATATATTCACTACGAAGGATATCGCGTGACGGTTAATTATCTCATAGAAAAAACGATACAAGCCGACGTCGTGTCTACTATAGTATGGCTTTCGTCACTACCCATGTAACCCCACTGCGTCTGAAGACACGCGTTTATATTAAGAAAGACGCTTCTAAACGCGTTATTTTTCAGAAAAGTTAACGGAAAAGAAAAGCAAATGCGCTCAAACGCGTTTACATTGGATGCGTCAAGACGCGTCTGACAATTTTTGACAACAACCCGCGTTTAGGCGCATCGCTTAACGGAAACTGATCAGACGCGTTTAACCGCATTTGCTGATTTTCCGATAGAAAAACTCGAACAGATGCGTTTTTCTTTGCTACTTTGACACGTTCAGATGCGTCTTATCCTGATGTGTGTGAGTAGTTTAAATATGCACTCATTTAATGCATATATGCACGTTTTATACTGACGTATTCAGAATCGTTTCGTTTTATACGCAGTTGTTTTTGCTATTTTGGCGTGTCAAGTCGGACTTTGTGTTGTTGTAGACAGTTAAACTGTCTTCAAGAAACTGTGCGGATGCGAACACGGGCGAATGTTTTCATTGCATTGTAACACAGCGAATTTAAAAAAAAGAAGCACCGTGAAAGTTTTATCGCTTTATCAATAATAAAGCGACACGAATTTTTGCTCAAGTTACAATGAGTTGATGAAAATCATTGTTTTTAGAGATACTAAAGTATATGTCTCAATTTGACAGCATGCTATAAAGCGAGCAATGTTTTAAATCAAAAGTTTGCCAAGATGATAACTTACTTAACTCATAGTTTGTTTTCGTGCGATAACAAATAATTAACATTCAACTGCTCGGCAACAAATCTAATAATGTAATAATACGTATTGAAAAATGTTTAGTGCTTATTTAATTCTATGTTCTGCAGCATTTATCTTCGATCAGAAGAAAAGCTTTTTTTTTGAAAACGAACATATTTTTATTGTCCTTCGCTCATGTAACGTTCACATCGGCAAAATGCAAAGCAAACAGTACCCTTATTTGGCTGATGAGTGCCCTAGTCGAACATCTTGGAACCAAGATCTTGACATCTTAGATTTTTTCGAAAAGATCTTGGCAAGATCTTTGATACAGGATGTCAAGATATTTTCGTTCCTAAGATCTTATGTATGATCTTGCGTACAAAATCCTAATAATTATCTTGTATCCAAGATCTTGACTGTAAAATGACTTGTACCTAAGATCATGGCTCAAGATCTTTGATACAGAAATATTTTGGCATCTTGCCCAAAGATCTTTGAGTAACCATTGGTTATCATTCACCGTCTTATTTTGGCGATGTCATCCTATATATGAACATCCTATTTTGTGCCTAATATTATTATGTTTTCGTCGACAGCAGAGTCAAAACTCCATGAAGGAGGCATTAGGGATCGTTCATCCTAGCGGATGAAATGTTCACCACTGAGCGGTAAATTTTTTTTGTTCCGAACACTTGTTGAAAAAATGCAAAGAAAAAAAGTTATTGTTGAAATATGACGGTTTTTCAAATGTTCAAGATCCTGGGTACAAGATATCAAGAAATATCTGTACCCAGGTCTTGCGTAAGATCTTGGGTACAAAAATGTTTTGAGATCTTGTACGTATTTTTTCAAGATCTAGTGCCAAATCTTAACGTAAGATCTTGGGCAAGATCCTGGTTCCAAGACGTTGGACTAGGGTTGGCATTTTTCATGAGAAAAAATGTTTAACGTAGAAAATAGTTAAAAAAGACCAAGAGAGGGATCTTTATCCACTAAAAACACCAATTCGAAATTGAAAAGAAGCCGAGAAAAATACTAATGAAGACTGCTGAAAATAGTAAAACATAAAATTTAGCAATTTTTTGAAGAGAGCAGATCCTGAAATGACCTCAAGGACTGTGTCTGAACGTTCTTAGTAACGGCAACACAATCATGCGACACATTCTTTTGCGACACAATTTTCTCACAGGAGCTGCGACACATTTTATTGCGACATAAAATGCGACACAATATTTTTTACGTATTATGTTCTAATTATTGAGCTATGTGTCCCGAAAATGGAGCATATTTTCAACAACTATTCTATATCAGTGCTGTAACCATATGTAAAGGATTCAAACAATGTCTGAAGTATTTCTGAGAAGCGTTTCAGTCGGTTGACTTTCAAATCTGCCCCCAGGTTAGTTGGCATCTGGTATTTGTTATTCGATTTTAAGAATATTTTTAGTTCATTTTGGAAAAAATGAGACTCCCAGATCTCGAAAACTAAATATTTTGAAAGCCTGTGAATAGAACAAGAAGAAAAAAAGCAGGAAACAGGCACCTGTAAGTAGATAAGTCTTCACTCTGTTTTCAAGACCAGACAAACTGAACATCCTCTAGGGTAACGATCACTCGGAGCTCGTTCTACAATAACTGTGCCTGTGGGGAATGTCGTTTGTAAAGCTTTTTCATATTGTTCCTAAGACCAGGTTACTTTATTTAGAATTGCATGAGACATCCTGTACCAAAGATCTTGCCAAGATCTTTTCGAAAAAATCTAAGATGTCAAGATCTTGGTTCCAAGATGTTCGACTAGGGAAATCTTAACGTAAGATCTTGGGCAAGATCTTGGTTCCAAGACGTTGGACTAGGGTGGGTAAGTACTTTGCTTTGTAATTTGTCTTTCTGTTCATAGGTACCAAGTTCGAATCACGCTGACGGCATCAACTTTCTTTCTCGTAAGTAAAGCTCTTCTCACTTATATATAATCTCAGCTAACTAAAGGACAATGGTACCTTGGCTACGAATTTCATCCAAGAGCCACAAAAACTTCTCTGAAAAAAAAATTATTTAAAAAAGAAACGCGTTTAAACGTCCAGATATACCAAAAGGGTGCATATTTGAACCACTTAGACGTATTAGGATATGTCGCGTATAAACGTGTTAAATTCCCAAATAAACGCGCTAGCGTGCGTCTACATAAAACGCAGTTAAACGCGTCTAGACGCACCAAAAGGGTACATATTTGAGCGCCTTAAACGCAGGATAAAACGCGTTTTGAGATGCATATAGAACTGAAAAACATTTACATGGATATGAAATGAATTATGGGAGGATTAATTATCTCATAGTAAAAACGACAGAGTTATCTCAAAAATATAGTCATTTTGTGGCATTAACTATAGGATAACTAAAGCAAACATCCGAAAACGAACTGTAGATGTGTCATCGACGAAATTTGAGTAAGATCGAAATGGAAGAGGAAACTCCAAACAAGAAAAGAGGGCACTCCGGAGTTTCAGAAGGTCCGGTGCAGCAGAAACAACAAACAACAACTCAAAAAAAAAGAATTCAAAATAGCACCAGCTATCGTTAAAGGCATTCCAAATGTAAATAAAACACTATTAAATAAAATTCTAAAAAATAAAATGCCTGACGGAAAAAGCGGGAAATATTCATATTCAAAAATAAAAATAATTTATTTACTATCCAATCGTCAGATACAAAAACGTATAATCAACTATTAACCTCTTTTCTGACGGTTCCATTTCCAAGTGAAAAAGATGGTATATCTAATAAGAGAAAAATAGTTCAAGAACAAAAAAAGTGCTAGATTACAATAGTTTTTCACTAATATTCAGTCTTTTGTTAAAGCTAATTTAACTTTCTTTTGACGACCCTTTCCCGTTCTCATCTCAGGTGACTGTGGAACTTTACGATGATTCCATTTTCTACAAAATACTGGTCCATTTTCCATTATCAAGTCTTTGCTTTAATTTGTATAAATTGATGAGCTTTTTTTCATCAGATACAAATCGATGAGCTTTTGATACTCAAATAGCTATATAAGTCTGCATGCATGTCCCGTCAGTACATTCTCAATTAAATCTGCTCTTTCATAATGTCTCGCCGAACTTGGCACAAATGTTTCTCTTCTACTTCTGAAAGTGATATCATCTCTTTGACAAAAGAAAATAAAGGTTCTACTTATCGTACCGAGCATTGTCAAGCCGGTAAAACTACTACATATCGTTGTACGGAATACAGAAAACAGCCTCTTTGTCTTTTTCAATTAAAGTCAAAAGAATCCAATAATAAATTTACAGTATTTAAATCTGAATCGCATAATCATGATCAACGTAATGATGCAACTCGTCTCAAATCGCCTATTCGTGATACTGTTCAACAAATGTCGGATAAAGGTATGACACAAACACAAATCAGAAAAGCTGTGTCAGTAATTCATCCAAGTTTAACCGTAGACACAAAAATGAAAAATATTGTCCAGTATAGTCGTTTAAAAACTCGTAAAAGTATAATATCAATTGATGATTTGCAAACATGATGTAGCCAATAGCTTAATTGTTCATCTCCCGATAAATTGCATGACGTATTTGTGCTATATTATGAAGCTATTGATATTAATCATATATTTATTTGTATTACTACACGTCAGTTATTATCTGCGTGTAAATATTCATCTACATTAGTTATTGATTGTACATATAAAGTAACATGGAATGAATTACCTTTACTCGTTTTTGGAACATCAGATTTAAATCGTCATTTTCATCCATTAGGATTATGCTTAATATCAACAGATGAATCAGCAGATACATTTAAAACTTTATTTCGTGTATTAAAATCATGTGTACCACTAATCTACTAATAATGGTCTTGAATCGTTGAATGGTAAAATCAAACAAATGTACACATTACGTAACAAATTGTCATTGTCATCATTCTTACAAACAGCTGACGTATGTTGTATGACTGGTCATTAGCTAGTGCGAATACACCATTTGCTATTCAAATTGAATTTACTGATGATTTGGCAGTTAGGGCATATCAATGGTTACAAAAACTTGATCGAACAAAAGTATTATATTTAGATGCAGCTAGTTATGCTGTACCTTCTTCTGAACAAAAAATGAGTACATCATTATGGATACAATATTATAATAGTATGCCTTGGAATTCGTACGATGAATTTATTGACTGGTTAAACTCTGCGCGTTTAGTTGATTTTTCTCGTTTAACTCCAACATTATTTTGTTCATGTAAATATGACCTTCAAGAATACTCTTGCGTTCATTCATTGGGCTTACTAATGATGTGGGATCATCGTAAAGTTCCACAGCCACTTGCGATAAGAAGGGGAAAGGGTCGTCAAAAGAAAGTTAAATTAGCTTTAACAAAAGACTGAATATTAGTGAAAACCTACTGTAATCTAGCACTTTTTTTGTTCTTGAACTATTTTTCTCTTATTAAATATACTTTACTACTGACAAGATCATTAATTAATTTTCATAAATTAATTCCCGAGCTCATTTCTCTCTTTTTATCGACGAAAATAAAATCTACTGAGCTCATTTGTCTCTTTTCAGAGTATAAATTAATTCCCGAGCTCAAATATCTCTTTTTCATTAGATTAATATATTTCCGAGCTCAAAACTCTCATTTATATAAAAAAATATAATTCTATTACAACCGAGCTTATTTCTCTCATTTTAAAGCCAATTAAGTACACCGAGCTCAAATATCTCTTCTTTCCGAGCTCATTTAATTTCGTGTCCCACAATAAAAGCAACCACATTTGTAAAGAAATCTAAATAAGACTTTTAATCATACAAGCTATTTATTATTCTAAGAGTCTAAAATAATATAAACTTTGTACATGATTCCATTGTTCTGAGATAAAAGTGATTAATAATATACGGGAAAAAATTATAAAAGTAAATAATGTCGTGTGAGAAATTTTATTGTGGTAAGCGGATACACACATAAATTTAACTACTCTTTATTCGCAAAAAAGTTTAACGTGAAATATTTTTTGTTGTTTTCCTTCCGTAATCATTTCATCAAAAGTGAGATGGAAGTTAATTAGGTACTCTGACTTTCCTAAGTGTGAGGCATGTTTTGTTTAGTTGATCATGAAAGAACATACAGCTACCTAGCCGGTGCAAGACAGTGGTTTGTTTATACAGTTAATTGACCTATAATTTTACCCTATTCTTATGATAATGCACAATTTATTTTAAAATATTGGAAGAGACTAGACTACATACTTAGAAATATACTACATTCACGCAAACCACACGTCCAACCATGATATCGGTAATTTCTATTAATAAGTCATAAATATCAATGCTAATTATATGAAAATTACCTTGATAGCAGCGACCCCTAACAGAATTTTATCCGTACCATGATCGTTGTTTTTCTTTTTTCAATCATTCAGTGATTGTAACGGGTAGAGGAGAATAAATGGTGATCTTACAATACTTCCTTAATATTTTTTTCATCATTTATACTTATTGTTTTTTAAAAGATTCCGCGTTCAATTTTCTACACAAAACGTATTGAATATTTCTCTATATAACACAAGATAAAAAAATTTCGAGGAAATACGGAAAAACTTCAATCTCGATTAAGATAAGATAAGATTTGATTTTACTCAAGAGCAGAATATCACAAAAAAGAACAAAAGACTTGTGGCATCCGTGGATACCCTGTCATAACCTAAAACTAAAAACAAACTTTCAGACCTACAGCGTAACAAAAAAATAGTTATTTCGAGCGCGGTGCTATGCATCAAAGTGGAATAGAAATGTATTTTCTGGGGCTCCGAAGTGCCACCTTTCGGCAAAGAAATTAAAGGAGTCCTTGAGAATGCTAAATCTAGCGATATTTGATTTGCTGTACAACTAAACTTCGCCAAAGAAATTAAAGGTGTCATTGAGAATGCTGAAACTTAAAATACTTCTTTTTCGTTACAACTGAATTTCACCAAAGAATTAGAGGAGTCATTGAGAATGCTAAATCTAGCGATATTTCATTTGCTGTACAACTAAACTTCACCAAAGAAATTAAAGGAGTCATTGAGAATGCTGAAACTTAACATATTTC